ACATCCCTTGACCCCTCTGACCCCACTGGAGTCAAATTCATCCCACATTCCAAGGACCCCCTCATCACCTCAACCCCCAAAACCCGTCCAGCCCTCGTCCCCTCAACCCCCAAAACCCACCCAGCTCTCATCTCCTCAACCCCCAAATCCCATCCAGACCTCATCCCCTCAACCCCAAGAACCCACCCAGACCTCATCCCCTCAACACCCAAAGCCTACCCTGCCCTCACCCCTCCTCATCCCCTCTCCTTCCATGTGACCCCCCACCCTTGCGAGGGAGGTGGGAGGTCCCCCCCACCCCCTCTATCCATCCCCCTCCCAACCTCTCAACCTCTATCTGTCTCCCAACCTTACGCCATCTCCCAACCCCTCTATGCCCTCCCTAATCTTCAGACCCAGTATGCCCTTCCTACTCCAGACCTACCTACCCAGGCCCTACCCCAGACCCTCCTACCTACCTTCCTAGAAGCCCAGCCCCCAGTAGCCCCCCAAGCACCCCTCCTGAACTCTTTCACCCCCCATACACCCCCCGGACCCCCCCAGACACCCCCTGGATCCCCCCGGACATCCCCCGGACCCTCCCCGCCCCCAGTCATCCCCCAGACACCCCCAGATCCCCCAGATCCCCTCTGCCCCCAGTCACCCCCCAGACATCCCCCAGATCCCCCCAGACCCCCAGAGAAAGGGAGAACTCTGGTACAAGAGTTTCCATGAAGAATCTCAAGGTTTGGTACACCAATGCTGATGGGGTATCTAATAAAGCAGAAGAGATAAAAGAAAGAGTGAGTGAAGCAGATCCTGACATAGTTGCAATTGTGGAAACTAAAATTAATGACATGATCTCAGATGCTATCTTTCCTGAAGGGTACCAGGTGATACGAAAAGAGAGGACACAGAGACAGGGAGGGGGAGTAGCACTCCTAATAAAGCGGAAATGGAAGTTTGAAGACCTGGGAAATCGAGTTACCAATGAGTGCACAAGCTTCATACATGGAACTCTGACAGTAGATGGGAGGAAGATTGTGATCATGGTAATCTACAATCCCCCACCAAACAGTAGAAGACCCAGGCAGGAGTATGATGACAACAACAAAGCATGTATTGATGAACTGCAGAAGGCAGCAACACTAGCCCACAGAATGAGAGCGAAGCTGCTGATCATGGGGGACCTAAATCATGGAGAGATAAATTGGGAATCAAGGAATCCCCATGGAGGGGATGAAACGTGGGGAGCAAAATTAGTAGATGTTATAGACAGGAATTTCCTGACACAACATGTGAAGGAAGACACAAGGGAAAGAGGAGGAGATGCACCGAGCCTATTAGACCTGATTTTCACCCAGAACGTAGAAGATATCGAGAATTTAGAGCATGAAATACCTCTAGGGGCCAGTGACCATTGTGTCCTAGTCTTTGACTACATGATGGAATTCAAAATTATGACCATGGGACAAGAGATCTGGGAAAGGAGAGCTGACTACAGGAAAGGGGACTATATGAGGATAAGGGACTATCTGGGTGAAGTGCAGTGGGAGGAAGAAATTAGAGGAAAAACAGTCCAAGATATGATGGACCTAGTCATACAGAAATGCCAGGAGGCCGAAGAGAGATTTATACCAACGGTAAAGGGAAAAAATAAGAAGGAATATAATAACCCATGGTTTAATAGACAGTGTCAGGAAGCAAAAATGGCCAGCAGGCGGGAGTGGAGGAAGTACAGAAGACAAAGAACAGAGGACAACAGAAGCAGATACAACAGAGCTAGGAACGATTACATTAACATAAGACGAACATCGGAAAGGGACTATGAGAACGATATTGCAATCAAAGCGAAAAAACAACCTAACTTACTACACAGTCATATAAGAAGAAAAATGTCGGTGAACGACCAAGTGACAAGACTAAGGAAGACAGAGGGGGCATATACTGAAAGTGACAAGGAAATCTGCGAGGCACTGAATGCCAGTTTCCATGGAGTGTTCACTACCGAGCCTGAGCAGCTCCCATTGTTGGAAGGGGTTACCCTAGATGAAAGACTATCAGATATAGAGGTGACAGCAGAGGAGGTAATGAAACAGTTGACAACTCTAGATGCAACTAAAGCAGTTGGACCAGACAAAGTATCACCGTGGATACTAAAAGAAGCAGCACAGGCCCTCAGCGTGCCTCTGGCAATGATCTTTAATGAGTCACTTATGTCAGGAGAATTGCCCAGTTGCTGGAAGAAGGCAAATGTCGTGCCGATCTTCAAGAAAGGAGATAGGGAGGAGGCACTTAACTACAGACCTGTATCACTGACAAGCATCCCCTGTAAAATACTGGAAAGAATAATTAGGCTACGACTGGTTGCACACCTGGAGAACATTAGGTTTGTGAACAAACATCAACATGGGTTCTGGACAGGGAAATCGTGCCTAACAAACCTTCTGGAATTCTATGATAAAATAACGAGGATAAGACAGGACAGAGATGGTTGGGCAGACTGCATATTTCTGGACTGCCAAAAAGCCTTTGATACAGTACCGCACATGAGACTGCTGTTCAAGCTCGAGAGGCAGGCGGGGGTGGGGGGAAAGGTCCTAGAATGGATAAGGAACTACCTAACAGGAAGGAGCCAAAGAGTTACGGTAAGGGGCGAGAAGTCGGACTGGCGAACAGTAACAAGTGGAGTACCACAAGGATCGGTGCTGGGACCAATTCTATTTCTTGTGTATGTTAACGACATGTTTACAGGCGTAGAGTCCTACATGTCGATGTTTGCGGATGATGCAAAGTTGATGAGAAGAGTTGTGACAGATGAGGATTGCAGGATCCTCCAAGAGGACCTGAACAGATTGCAGAGATGGTCAGAGAAATGGCTACTAGAATTCAACACGAGCAAATGTAAAGTTATGGAAATGGGACTAGGAGATAGGAGACCAAAGGGACAGTACACAATGAAGGGGAACAGCCTACCTGTAACGACGCGTGAAAGAGACCTGGGGGTGGACGTAACACCTAATCTATCTCCTGAGGCACATATTAATAGGATAACGACAGCAGCGTACTCTACACTGGCAAAAGTTAGAACATCATTCAGAAACCTAAGTAAGGAGGCATTTAGGGCGCTTTACACTGCCTACGTAAGGCCAGTCTTAGAGTATGCCGCCTCATCATGGAGTCCCCATCTGAAGAAGCATATAATGAAACTGGAAAAGGTTCAGAGGTTTGCAACGAGACTCGTCCCAGAGCTACGAGGGATGGGGTATGAAGAGCGCCTGAGGGAACTGTGCCTTACGACACTAGAAAGAAGAAGGGAGAGGGGGGACATGATAGGAACGTATAAGATACTCAGAGGAATTGACAGAGTGGACATAGACGAAATGTTCACACGGAATAGTAACAGAACGAGAGGACATGGATGGAAGCTTGAAACTCAGATGAGTCACAGAGATGTAAGGAAGTTTTCTTTTAGCGTGAGAGTAGTGGGGAAATGGAATGCACTTCAGGAACAGGTTGTGGAAGCAAATACTATTCATAATTTTAAAACCAGGTATGATAGGGAAATGGGACAGGAGTCATTGCTGTAAACAACCGATGCTCGAAAGGCGGGATCCAAGAGTCAATGCTCGATCCTGCAAGCACATATAGGTGAGTACATATAGGTGAGTACACACACACGCCCCCCCCCCACACACCCTCCCCCACACACACACACACACACACACACACATACACACACATGCCCCCCCCCCCCACACACACACACGCCCCCCCCCCCTACACACACCCCCCCCACACACACACACACATACACACACACGCCCCCCCCTACACACACGCCCCCCCCCCCTACACACACGCCCCCCCACCCCCCCCACCCCCCCACACACACACACACACACAGGGAATAAACTTCACTACCAAGACCACAACATAAAACAGACATGCACATTCCCAGTCATCAGAGGTCAGTAAGTCACGGCAGGAGCCAGCCAGCACACACACAACAGATACTTCCCGCCGCTGACCACAAAACGCCATAAGGAACAGAACAAGAAACGTCGGCTAAGTGACGTAATTGTAAATACTAAATAAGCGACAATTGCCGAAGATATTGACCATACGAACAACAGAACAGGAAGAATTGTTTAAGTGATTTTACACGACAATAATATTACAAAATGTTTTCGCGTGCCACAAGCCGATATTAACACGTTTGTCGGTTCTCAAAGACTAACGTTTATGAGGACATATGACGAGGTCCTCACTCTGTGTTGTGTGCTTGTAATGTGCCCTCACTGTGTCTCTGTGTGGCCGTGTGTGTGTGTGTGTGTGTGTGTGTGTGTGTGTGTGTGTGTGTGTGTGTGTGTGTGTGTGTGTGTGTGTGTGTGTCGGAGAGCACGTGCGTGCGTGCGTGCGTGTGTGTGTGTGTGTGTGTGTGTGTGTGTGTGTGTGTGTGTGTGTGTGTGTGTCGGAGAGCACGTGCGTGCGTGTGTACATGTGTGTACTAACCTAACCTTCATCATGTTCATCCTCCTGGACTCTATCACACTCATCTTGACCATTTAAGTTTACTTTATGTACACTTCCTAAACTACTCAACAGCGACATTGTTCATTGGCCGAATTGCCAAGAACAACATTTAAGAAAATATCATCAGTTTATAAGACGCAAATAAAAGCAACCTCGCAATAGTGGCCAACTGCGTGTTGCATCACACCTTCCATATAACGACCTATTAACAAAAAATTGAACTGGAGAAAACACTTGTTATCTGACTAAGGAAACATTCAAGTGCTTAAGGAGTTGGTGGTGAGGAAAGACTAACGCAAGATCATCTAATGAGCTGTTAAGAACTTGTTAAGTTGGTGGCTGAGATAACAGATACCAGCAGGAAGTTTAGTACCAGCTGTTAGTACACAATAATCAAATAGTTCTTCATTTTTTATATTTTATTTTTTATCGGGAAGATAAGTTACATTTTCAACTTTCCAAGGATCCGACGATTGAGTCTCAGATTAAAGATAGCGTTCCACCCTTGTCCACCCGTTCCACTCTTGTCCACCCGTTCCACCCTTGTCCACCCGTTCCACCCTTGTCCACCCGTTCCACCCTTGTCCACCCGTTCCACCCTTGTCCACCCGTTCCACCCTTGTCCACCCGTTCCACTCTTGTCCACCCGTTCCACCCTTGTCCACCCGTTCCACCCTTGTCCACCCGTTCCACCCTTGTCCACCCGTTCCACCCTTGTCCACCCGTTCCACCCTTGTCCACCCGTTCCACCCTTGTCCACCCGTTCCACCCTTGTCCACCCGTTCCACCCTTGTCCACCCGTTCCACCCTTGTCCACCCGTTCCACTCTTGTCCACCCGTTCCACCCTTGTCCACCCGTTCCACCCTTGTCCACCCGTTCCACCCTTGTCCACCCGTTCCACCCTTGTCCACCCGTTCCACCCTTGTCCACCCGTTCCACCCTTGTCCACCCGTTCCACCCTTGTCCACCCGTTCCACTCTTGTCCACCCGTTCCACCCTTGTCCACCCGTTCCACCCTTGTCCACCCGTTCCACCCTTGTCCACCCGTTCCACCCTTGTCCACCCGTTCCACCCTTGTCCACCCGTTCCACCCTTGTCCACCCGTTCCACCCTTGTCCACCCGTTCCACCCTTGTCCACCCGTTCCACCCTTGTCCACCCGTTCCACCCTTGTCCACCCGTTCCACTCTTGTCCACCCGTTCCACCCTTGTCCACCCGTTCCACCCTTGTCCACCCGTTCCACCCTTGTCCACCCGTTCCACCCTTGTCCACCCGTTCCACCCTTGTCCACCCGTTCCACCCTTGTCCACCCGTTCCACCCTTGTCCACCCGTTCCACTCTTGTCCACCCGTTCCACCCTTGTCCACCCGTTCCACTCTTGCCCGAAACGCATTGCGTAATAGTGGCTTTAGGCACTGTATGTACTAGCTCTATCTATATATCAATCCATTAACGTAACATCACTTGTTTGTATGTACCTTACCTGAATAAACATATTTATTTTATTTTTTTATTTTATTTAAACAGTTTATCTTTATCTACCCTGTCAATTCCTCAAAGAATTTTGTTGGTAGTAATCATGTCTCCTCTTACTCTTTTGTCTTCTAGTGTCGTAAAGTGCATTTCGCTCAGCCTTTCCTCGTAACTCATGCCTCTTAGTTCTGGGACTAGTCTAGTGGCATATCACTGAACTTTTTCCAGCTTCGTCTTGTGCTTGACAAGGTACGGGCTCCATGCTGGGGCCGCATACTCCAGGATTGGTCTTACATATGTGGTGTACAAGATTCTGAATGATTCCTTACACAGGTTCCTGAACGCTGTTCTGATGTTAGCCAGCCTCGCATATGCCGCAGACGTTATTCTTTTTATGTGGGCTTCAGGAGACAGGTTTGGTGTGATATCAACTTTGGTGTGATATATATAAATATATTATATATATATATATATAATATAAACCGGTGCCCTGCAGGGCTGGTGACGGCTAGAGGCAAGGAAGCCGAGAAGGGTCGCCCATGAACAGTTTTTCTCCTTAGTTGTGTCGACGGCTAGAGTTAACACCCTCAAAGGGACTTGTGTCTGTTAGAAGAACTTAAGAGTCCAAGTTGTCGACACAGACCAGGCTCGCGCTGTTGGGCTACTTCGAGGCAGCCCAACATTTAGTTGGTGGGGCTCATCCCGACCGCTGCTATAGAGATACAGAGAGTAAAATGCCAGGTAGCCGTGGTGCTGACACTAGCTAGCTTACACTACCCACGTCTGGTGTAAACACCATCTACATATATAGTTGGCGCTTCCCAAAGGTGACATCGTGTATAAAAACACTTCAAACACACTTATGCCTGGCTGAACGTCCTTCATGCATGTTCAAGGCTGGTCTGGTGGCGCTACGGCTATCCGGATACGGAAGGGCGTTCGTGTAGTCTCGCTTCAGGTAAATCTACACACTCCATTAAACTAAATATTCGTGATGGAAAAAGTTTCTTAAGAATTGCGATAATTCTGTCCATGGCTGACAAATCAGGAGAACTGACCATTCCCCAGTTTCTTAAATGAGCTAAAATGAATATATTTAAGCAGTACATGAGGGAAAAGTGATAATTGGTGAATACTGTTTACTCTAAGCCGGTTGCTAGTGTGAGCTGCTTTTAGTGAACGGTTATTATTATTTCGGTTAAGTCGCATTTTTTTGCATATTTACGATACATAAACACAGTCTCAACCCTGAAAATGGCATATAAGAAGAAGTAGTAAAATGCAGATTTTTGCGCTAAAGATCCACCGAAAAAGGTGAAGCAGAGTCTTAATTGTTTGCAAAACTTAAATGAACAGTTAATGCTTCGTGGAGGAGGTGTGGCAGACGGCGCCACAACACACACCTGCAGTGTGACAGACGGCGCCACAACACACCTGCAGTGTGGCAGACGGCGCCACAACACACACCTGCAGTGTGACAGACGGCGCCACAACACACCTGCAGTGTGACAGACGGCACCACAACACACACCTGCAGTGTGGCAGACGGCACCACAACACACCTGCAGTGTGACAGACGGCACCACAACACACACCTGCAGTGTGACAGACGGCGCCACAACACACACCTGCAGTGTGACAGACGGCACCACAACACACCTGCAGTGTGACAGACGGCGCCACAACACACACCTGCAGTGTGACAGACGGCGCCACAACACACCTGCAGTGTGACAGACGGCGCCACAACACACCTGCAGTGTGACAGACGGTGCCACAACACACCTGCAGTGTGACAGACGGTGCCACAACACACACCTGCAGTGTGACAGACGGCGCCACAACACACACCTGCAGTGTGACAGACGGTACCACAACACACCTGCAGAGAGACAGACGGCGACACAACACACACCTGCAGTGTGACAGACGGCGCCACAACACACACACCTGCAATGTGACAGACGGCGCCACAACTCACACACCTGCAGTGTGGCAGACGGCGCCACAACTCACACACCTGCAATGTGACAGACGGCGCCACAACTCACACACCTGCAGTGTGACAGACGGCGCCACAACACACACCTGCAGTGTGACAGACGGTACCACAACACACCTGCAGTGAGACAGACGGCGACACAACACACACCTGCAGTGTGACAGACGGCACCACAACACACACCTGCAGTGTGACAGACGGCGCCACAACTCACACACCTGCAGTGTGGCAGACGGCGCCACAACACACACACCTGCAGTGTGGCAGACGGCGCCACAACACACACCTGCAGTGTGACAGACGGCACCACAACACACACCTGCAGTGTGACAGACGGCGCCACAACACACACACACCTGCAGTGTGGCAGACGGCGCTACAACACACACACCTGCAGTGTGGCAGACGGCGCCACAACACACACACCTGCAGTGTGGCAGACGGCGCCACAACACACACCTGCAGTGTGATAGACGGCACCACAAGACACACCTGCAGTGTGACAGACGGCGCCACAACACACACACCTGCAGTGTGGCAGACGGCGCCACAACACACACACCTGCAGTGTGACAGACGGCACCACAACACACACCTGCAGTGTGACAGACGGCGCCACAACACACACACACCTGCAGTGTGGCAGACGGCGCTACAACACACACACCTGCAGTGTGGCAGACGGCGCCACAACACACACACCTGCAGTGTGGCAGACGGCGCCACAACACACACCTGCAGTGTGATAGACGGCACCACAAGACACACCTGCAGTGTGACAGACGGCGCCACAACACACACACCTGCAGTGTGGCAGACGGCGCCACAACACACACACCTGCAGTGTGACAGACGGCACCACAACACACACCTGCAGTGTGACAGACGGCGCCACAACACACACACCTGCAGTGTGACAGACGGCGCCACAACACACACACCTGCAGTGTGACAGACGGCGCCACAACACACACACCTGCAGTGTGACAGACGGCGCCACAACACACACACCTGCAGTGTGACAGACGGCACCACAACACACACACCTGCAGTGTGACAGACGGCGCCACAACACACACACCTGCAGTGTGACAGACGGCACCACAACACACACACCTGCAGTGTGACAGACGGTACCACAACACACACCTGCAGTGTGATGGGGACCACCACTGGAACACTCAGGCATTATATACATTGTTCATCACCTGAACCTTCACTATACATGTCCTATCATACCAACGGCTCCTCAGGGGTCACCAGTGTCCACCTCTGCTGTCTTATCCTGCTTTTCTCTGCCTGGAAAACATCTCCTCTGGTTCTTGTCTGCTGTGTTTGCATCTTTATCTCCTTCAGCTTATCTCTCATAACTCAAATGTCGAATTTGTGGTAATAGTCTTGTTGCTACTAAGTCTTTGTCCTTGGGATCTTTGCACCTTACACATTGAGATCTTCGTGATGTGTTGCACATTCCAACACTGGATGGTCCCGCAAGCCAATATGCAACTGGCAACTCCACACCCCAGAAGGATTCGAACCCAGACAGCCAAGAGCACTATGCACGTGGCGTACCTTGTAACGTACCTGTGTTTCCCACGGTTTGATTCCTTGCCTAGTCATATAATTATTCTGTTTATTTTATTCTTTTAATGCCAGTTTCTGGATTCTCAGTGTGATATTTAGAACAATAAATTATCTGTTTTCTTTGCCAGTGCCGCTAGCCTACTTTTCCCTAAATTTGTAATTCCGTGTTGGTCACATTTCTCCTTTATCCTCTTCCATAACTTTATATTAGTTGGGGTCAAATTCCAAAAGCATTTGTCTGGCCACTTGTGTAGCTTTTGGTCCTGACGTTCTGTTTTCTGCTGGTTGTATGTGACTCGTCACTTTATCATCTGAAAATGCAACCCGTTCTCGCAAATTTAAAAAGTCAATATTGACTTATTAAATATGTGCATAGGTGACATACTTAACATAATAGATACCCTTAAAAAGATTCATAGAAAACACCGACCTTACCTAACCTTGTTAGTATGTTAAGATAAGCATCTTATTGCTTCGTAATTACAATTATTACCTAACCTATAATAGGTATAGGTTAAGTAATAATTGTAATTACGAAGCAATAAGATGCTTATCTTAAGATACTAACAAGGTTAGGTAAGGTCGGTGTTTTCTATGAATCTTTTTAAGGGTATCTGTTATGTTTAGTATATCACCTATGCACGTAGTTAATAAGTCAATATTGACTTTACGAATTTGCGAGAACGGGTTGGAAAATGATGACATGGAAGAACCCATTTTTGCTGGTAAATTGTTGACTCAAAGAAAAGACCAGTAGTGAGCCGTGTGAGGCAGAACCTCGTTATCTCAGTCATCCTCATTGTGACTGTTAACTTTGCTGCAGGTAACTCTGTATCCTGTCTAGGACCTGTTCTGATATACTGGCTCGGGGTACTGATGGGGTGCTGATGGGGTGCTGATGGGGTACTGATGGGGTGCTGATGGGGTACTGATGGGGTACTGATGGGGTGCTGATGGGGTGCTGATGGGGTGCTGATGGGGTACTGATGGGGTGCTGATGGGGTACTGATGGGGTGCTGATGGGGTGCTGATGGGGTACTGATGGGGTGCTGATGGGGTACTGATGGGGTGCTGATGGGGTGCTGATGGGGTGCTGATGGGGTACTGATGGGGTGCTGATGGGGTACTGATGGGGTGCTGATGGGGTGCTGATGGGGTACTGATGGGGTACTGATGGGGTGCTGATGGGGTGCTGATGGGGTACTGATGGGGTACTGATGGGGTACTGATGGGGTGCTGATGGGGTACTGATGGGGTACTGATGGGGTGCTGATGGGGTGCTGATGGGGTGCTGATGGGGTACTGATGGGGTGCTGATGGGGTACTGATGGGGT